CGTGTTCCCAGTGGGTATTTTGTTTGGCCCAGGGCATGCAGATGTCAACCCTTTCACTAGAACCCATAGGAATCCCATCACAGCAAGCATTTTTGTGGCATTTTGAGAACCTCATTGAAAATCTAGGAGTCACATAGGGTTGGTCACTTGCTATACTCAGCATTCTGCCATCTTGTTTACCCCCATACTACTCCTACCTATTCAGTCCCAGCTTCCAATTAATTTATCGTCCTTCCTCCAAAGGCACAGCACAGCTGACACTAATGCAGCTTCTACTCCAAGGAAACTTAAGGCAATTCTCTCTAAAGTAATCCCCACTAGAAGCAAAGGCATTTTCCCCTTCCTCTTTACATTTCATTTTACACTCATTAACAGCCCTCTGAGATCAGAGTAATAATTTCTACTTTGTAGGTGAGGAAAATGGAGGCTTAGAGATGATGTGCCCTTAACCAAGGTCACACAGCTAGTAAGTGCCACAGTCTGGCTTCAAGCTCTACCCAACATCTCTCCACTGTGCCCTGTGGCCTCTTCCTAGGTAGCAAGTGGCTTTGCTCATATCTTGACCTTCCTACTGGGTGCAGGGTGGTGGTGGTGGTCTCTTTGCTGTGTGAAATGAAGACTTGCAATTCCCATTACCCTCTTTGATAAGGTTCCCTTGCCTGTTCTTCCCTTGAGAAAGAGCAGAAACGTGTTTATGGGCATACCTCTGCAGTCGAGCTACAGGGAGCAAGTGTGCTTGCAAAATACCATCGTAGCTGGAGAGAAGGAGTGCAAACACCAAGGCCAGGGTCAGCCTAGCACACTAAGTGTGCTTGAGTTCCTATATTGGCATCTTCAGTAGATTCAACCTTAAGGTTCTCAGCTTACTCACTATTTCTTTCTCAGGTGTCCCCAGATTCCTGATTACTCACAAATTTCCTTCTCAGGTGTCTCCAGATTCCTGATGACTGTGACATGCCCCATGATTTATGTTCTTTCCCTGGATCAGTGTGTGGTATCACAGAGCAAACAGGCTTTGGACTCTCCAAGATGTCAAATCTTAGACTTGCCACCCACAGTGTGGCTTCAGGTCATTCTTTTATCTCATGACCCCTGGATTTCCTCTAAGATGAGCCTGGAAATGCCTTCTTCACAGGCTGTTTGCAGTTTACAAAATAGAGCACGCATCCATTCTGCTGGTCCTTATTGAGGCCCATATGGAGGGTCTCTGGGCTGGATATGGGTGATACGGATGAGAAAATATCATTCTTGCTGTCCAAGTGTTTACATTCAAGTATGTAGGGGTGTTTTTAAGAAGGCATCATAGTAAAGGATGATGAGACTATACCTGGAAACAGTAAGCAGTAGGAGAAATAGCTACTGATCTCTGCTACGGGCTCAAGGGTAAGTTCCCACAGAGAAGGCAACATAAACTGTGGCTGCGAACATAAGAAGGAATTGCTAAGAACATGAGCTGGAGGAAAGGCAGGAGCAGCAGAGTAAATGAGAGAAGGAGAGAAGCTGGCATTGGTTCTCCTAAGTGTCAACAAAGATCCAACCAAAACACTCTTTCCAGCCCCCTCTGGCCAGGCATGTCTTTATACTCTGCACAGTAGAAATCAGACAGACACAAGTTCAAAACCTCACTTAGCCACTTACTAGCCTTGCTACTCTACACAATTTTTCAACCTAAGTCTACATTTATTCACCTGTGAAGTGGGGTTGGCCATGTCTCCCTTTCTGGGTGGTTTGGGTCCTGAAACCTAGCACTATGACTGGTGTGCCATACGTGCTACTTGGCTTTAATTGTTTGTGCTTTAAAGGACATAGTAAAACCAAAAAGCCAAACCCACTGCTATAGAGTCAATTCCAACTCACAGCAACCTCATTGGGTGGGATTGAACCACGAACCCCTTGGGTTAGCAGTCAAATGCCTTAGCCACTATACCACAGAGCTCCTAAAGGGCATAATAGAGATCTCCAAAGTTATTCTCACAGAAGATATGATATAATTTAACATGTTTGATGAGATGTGGCCTTAGCCTGGACTTAAAAACCAAACCCAAACCCAATGCTGTCGAGTTGATTTTGATGCCTGGCAACCCCATGTGTTACAGAGTAGAACTGAATTCCATGGATCTTTCTTAGCTATAGTCTTTACAGAAGCAGATCACCAGGACTTCCTTTTGTGGCACCTCTGGGTCGCTTCTCAGACCAACGACCTTTAGGTTAGTATTTGGAAAGGAAATCATTTACACCACCCAGGTACCTCCTTGAACTTAAAAGGGATGAGCAGGGATGGGCAGCCTCCTTTCTGGAGAATTCTGGTATCTGGTTGAGGAAATGGCTCCCGCTAGGCCAGGCTGAGGAGCTCTGGTGGCATAATACCTAAGACATTTGATCGCTAACCAGAAGACTGGCAGTTCAAACCCACCAGCCACTCCTCAGAAGGAAGGTTGGGCAATATACTTCTGGAGTGATACTGCCTCAGAAACCCAAAGAAGGGTCACTATGAGTCGGGTCTGACTCCACGGCACATAACAACAACAGGCCAGGCTGGCCACTTCTCGCTTTCCCTGTGTTTGTCCATTTATTCTCATTTAGCCTTCACTGCATGAGTCTCCTAGCCAAGCAGCAGCCAGGTGGAATCCTACCCTCCAAGTATGGGGACTGTACTTCCTTCCCACCCCCATCCCCTTCCACCTGGACTCAGCGCAGCGTAGGAGTGGGCCACAAGCAACAGCTCACTCGATGTCACCTTTCCAGTATCACCACTTTGCTCTTAGGACACTGCCTTCCTTTACACAAAGGACATGTTCACAGGAGTCATTGGATTCTCTGAGTGGCTGTCAACTCAGCTGATCTAAGGCCGAGATGCCCACTCTCCCCAGCAACCTGAAACTCGCAGCCTCATGAGCAGCTCTGGGGCTGACTTTCTTTCAAGGGGATCATTCAAAGTGAAAACCATGGCAAGGGTCAGGCGTCAATTACAGGACCTTTGTCCCCCATAGGGAAAGATCGGGGAACTCAGATGATACCTTGAGCTCCCCACCTTCTTTCTTATTGCTGCCTTGGCACAGAGGTAGCCTACCCCTAAATGTTCTGAGGGGACCAGAGAGATGATGGAAACCTAGCCCTTCATTTTGCACCCCTCCTGGAGTCCTGGCACTGCCACTTATAAATTGTTCAGAACAGAAGGATAGATACTGCATAGGAAGCACGATTAGAGCGTATCATTCTTACTACTTCAAAAACACCAGTTACTATGTAGCAAGTGCTCAGGAAGTTCCAGGTGCAACTCCAACTGTTTGGCAAGCAGTATCTCATTTAACTCCCCCAGGAGATAGGTACTATGATTATCACTGTTTTTCAGATTTGAAAAAAAAAAAAGACACTCAAAGAGGTTCCATAATTTGGCATGATCTTATAGCTACTGTGGGGCAAAATGGTGGTGGTGGGATGGAGGCTGTCTCTCTCCAACCTATGCTTAACTACTTACTCTCAGCTCAGAGAGTCTGGCATAAAACTTCATAGGACTGTTTTACACAAAAGATGCTAGCTTCCCTCATAACAAATGCTTAAACCTTAATGTACAGTACCTTTATGTGTGGGTATTTCGAAAATCAAATTGTTTATTAGGATCTGTTTTATATAGAACATCTATTAAATATAAACAGAGTGTGTATAGTGAGACACAGCCAATGCGTGGATATGGAGGATTTATGGTCAAGGTGGGAGAAGCTCTGGTAGCACAGTGCCTAAGGCATTTGACTGCTAACCAGAAGGCTGGTGGTTCAAACCCACCAGCCACTCCTCGGAAGGAAGGTTGGGCATCTACTTCCATCCGCAGTGATACCACCTTGTAAACCCAAGGAGGGGTCTCTATGAGTCAGGGCCGACTCGATGGCACATAACAACAACAACATGGTCAAGGTTAGTGGCAGGGGGAGGGGTGGCGGTGGGAGGCAGGGTTGTGGTAAGACGACATAACCAGATCTGCTTTTAGAAAGATGTTTCTGGACGAGCTATTTGGAAGAAAGTTGACAGGAGGAAAAGCAGCGATGAGGATGGACTCAGGAGTCTAGGAAACAGTGGCACAGATTGTCAATGAAAAGGGAATTCCAAGGCAGTCAACAAGTCATGGTGGCCACCTGTATAGGCTGGCTGCTGTGGATCAAGGAAGGTGTCTCCATTGCCAGCTTGTGCACCTCGTTGTTGCTAACTGAAGTGGGAGGCTGATTTTCCCAGGGGAGAGTGGACCCAAAGAGATTACTTAACTTAGCAGGATTCTATAGCTTCTACAGGGCAAAATAGGGGGGAAAGGCAGCTACTCTCCAACTTGCTCTGGTGGCACTGTGGTAAGGTATTTGCTTGCTAACCAAGAGGCTGGTGGTGGTTCGAACCTACCAACTGCTCGCTCCATGGGAGAAAGATGAGACAGTCTGTTTCCATAAAGATTCTCAGCCTTGGAAACCCTATACGGGGGTTGCTATGAGTCAGAATCGACTGGATGGCAGTAGGCTCTCTAACTTGTGGCTGGATCAACGCACAGAGGTGGTTCAGAACACGGGCAGCCTTCCAAATCAGAATATGCTAAAGAGTTATGTGTGTGCTGTTGAGGAAACTTTAAACATTTTTTACAATTTTGCATATATTTCACCCTTTTAACTTTAAAATTGAGGTGAAAGTCACATAACAAAATGAACTATTTTACAGTGAACACTTAAGTGGCATTTAGTAGATTCATAGTATTGGCTGCCACCACCTCCAATACTCACATGTTTTCATCGCCCCACAAGGAAACCCTATACTCATTAGGCAGTCATACCATATCCCCATGGCCTCCAGCTCCTGGCAGTCACCAATCTTGCTTTTATTTTTATGGTGTACATGATTAGTGTCAAGTGGTTTGTGTTTTCTCTATAGATGGAATTATGTTTTCTTTTCAATGCATGCATTTAAATAAGGAAGAAATTGATTTAAAGAAAAACGTTAATTAAATTATACTCCATGTGGCAAATATGCATGGAGGCTGCAGTTGAGTTGTTCAGCTAAGCCTGGAAAATCTGTCTGCCCAATTCCAGTGCACTGTAATCTACTAGAGGGCACCCACCCTGCCTTCCTGATACCTCCCCTAAGAGCCTGTGTTTTGTGTGTGTGTCTTGCAGACCCAGTGCACGGCCCACAGAACGTGGAGATTGTGGACATCCGAGCACGGCAGCTGACCCTGCAGTGGGAACCCTTTGGCTACGCAGTGACCCGTTGCCACAGCTATAACCTCACAGTGCAGTACCAGTATGTGTTCAACCAGCAGCAGTACGAGGCCGAGGAGGTCATCCAGACGTCCTCCCACTACACCCTGCGGGGCCTGCGCCCCTTCATGACCATCCGGCTGCGGCTTCTGCTGTCCAACCCTGAAGGCCGGATGGAGAGCGAGGAGCTGGTAGTACAGACAGAGGAGGACGGTGAGCAAGGGCACGAGCTTAACTGGGGGCAGGAATGGAGAACCTGTTCAGGGGTCACTCCTATTCCTGAGCAAGCTTTTTATTTTTCTCATGTCTTTACTCTTCCCCTCTATAGCTGCCTTCTTTTCAAGGTCTCCAATGAGAACCATGCTGGCTGTGCCTTGTACAGCTCCAGGGGGCACTGTCCTTGTGGACAAGCAGCTTTGCCATAGATGCGTGCTTGCATTTGAGCCTTCTGTACCCCCTTTCCCACTTCATACCACTTCTGTATCCACACTGATGACCCACAAAAGGGAAATACTCTATCATACTGTTTAAGCATATGAGTCTGGAAGCCAGACAACTCTATAATTAAATTAAAAATTAAAAAATAAAGAGCTCAACACACACATTGGATGGCTTCAGAACCAAATATTCACCTGGATGTCCCACAGGTATCTCACACTCAGCGTATCCAAAACTGAATGTCCTTTTCTACCCTGACTGGTCTCCTTGTGCTCCCCACATCTCAGGGGAGCTCAAGAGACCCCAAGGCAGGGCTCCTTGGAGCTCGCTCATGTGATACAAGACTACCAGAGCGATTGCCACTGCAGAGGTTTTGTCCTGGGGTCCCAAGTAGCTCAAGATCGAGACCTGACATCAGCCTAGAAGCCCCTCACTTCTCCCACCCACAAGCTTCTGTTGAGTCAGCTTCCTGCAGGTCATCTTTCAGCATTACCCTTAACTTTACCAACTCACAGTGACCCCAGGTGTGTCAGAGTAGAACTGTGGTCCCAAAGACTTTTCAGTCACAGATTTTCAAACATAGATGACCAGGATTTTAATCCAAGGTGTCTCTGAGTAGACTCAAACCTCCAACCTTTGAGTTAGCAGCCAATGATGCTAACCATTTGCACCACCCTCCCTTTGTAACTTAGACTCCAAGAGTATGGAACCACTTTTGCTTCACAGAATGTGTAACTCCTCCTCCTCTGTCATTTCCCTTGCTTGGAATGACCCCTCCCTCCCTCCCTCCATGTTTGCAGTACAAATGGTGTTAATCTTTCAAGACTTTGTTCAGGTATTATTTCCTCCAAGAAACTCTCCCTGACTGCTGCAGAGTGAAGTGTGCCTTCCCAGGGTCCCAATGCTGTTAGCACGTAACTTCCACACAACAGCTAGCTTCCTTATGGGTGGATAGAATCTGCTTGTGGTAGGACTCTCTTCTCTTCCATGGCCATGTTTGGACTCTTCCTCCAACCTGGCTGTCTCTGGCCTTCTGGAGTATCTATTGTTAGTTTCCCAGAATCAGACTGAGAAGAGAGATTGTGTGCAAGCATTTGATTAAGGAAGTTTTTCCAGGGGAGACTGGGAGAGGAATGGGAGAAGCAGGACAGGGAAAGGGGCAAGAAAAAGGAGGACAGCAGGCAAAGATGCCACTCTAGGCCAAGCCCAACAATGGGTGACTGCAACCTGAGCTGAAGGGGAGCCCTGCAGGATAACTGTGCTTCTAAGTTGTTCCAAGTCTGAGGGAAGGGCAATGTCAGCCAATACTTCAGGGTTGGGATGGCAAGGAGTAGATAAATTCTCAGAACTTCTGTCTCTCTGCTTATGTAGGCAAAGGACAATGAAGGGATGCAAAGGGATGTTGACAGAGCTCTGCCACTATCCCCCACATGGGCAAATGCCTCACCTGACCCAGCTTAGTCTCTGGAGCCTCAGGACAAAGCCTCTGCAGTGGCAATCCCTCTGGTCGTCTCATATCACATGAGCAAGCTCCTAGGAGCCCTGCCTTGGGGTCCCTGATGGGTTCCAAAGCCACATCTTCATCTACATAGCCCCTCAAGAAGACAGAGGAAAGAGTGCTGGCCTGTGTTGCCTGATTCTCATTTCCCACCAGTCCTTTCCTCGAACTGGAAGTTTTACATCGTCTGCTTTACTACCTCCTTGGCCCCCTTCAAATTCACACTTGCATCTACTCTCTCCATAGCCCCTGTATGCCATGCTTTGGACATCTTTGGAGGTAGCAGCAGCAATGGGGACCTACCCTGTCACCTGGGCTCCCTACCTGGTTTTGCAAAGAACCTCAGTCAGTCCTCTGTGGGTATAGCTCTCCGCTCACGCCCAGCTTCACTTCTCTAGTAGGTCTGAATGCTCTGCTTCCTGTGAACCCATCCCCGTCCAAAAAAGAGAGTTGGGCATCTCATCTTGCCTTCATTCTATCATTATCATTATCATTCTTTCATTATCATTATCATTCATTAACTCTCCAGACCACAGTTCTATTAGCAACCCAGACTGTGGCTCTAGAATCATGCTGCATGGTTTCTGGGAAGGCTTCTAGATCTTTCCCTAGAGCTGGCTCTGATGTTTCAAAATTTCAGCCCCTTGTTCCAGCTGGGTTGTAATGCACTGTTGGAAAAGGCAGACTCTGGAACCACCCATGCCAGGAGCCAAGATGCTTAGCCTCTCGGTGCCTTTGTTTCCCTACCTATAGAATGGAATAATAATACCTACACCTTGTAGATTACTGTAAGGATTGAAAAGGACAGTATATACAGGAATTGGAATAATGCCTGGTAGACTGCCAGATTTCAATAAATGTAGCTATTACATTTGCATCAAATCACAGACAAAGTACATCTTGATGAAAGAGCCTCTAGCACAAGCAACCTAAAAACTACCCAGTGGTCCTGCGAAAGCTCTGCAGAGCTCTAGACATCCACTCTAACTGGTTGTAGAAAATACAACATGGCCTTCTCAAGGAATGGCAGTGTCCTCAGTGCCTGATGTGAGAGAAAACAACAGAGGCAAGGAGGATAGTTCAGTGACAGGTTGTGGTAGTTAAATTTGTACGTCAACTTGGCTGGGCCTGGTTGAATGGCTGGGCTGCTAGTGGTAGTTATTCCCCTTGATGAGACTGGCAATCAACTCCATGGTGGGATCTACCACAAGCAGCTGAGTAGCTGCCTTTGGGATGTGGTCTGCTTCCTGTATATAAGGAGAACCCTTGGGGATAGTCTCTAGCCTATGGCATGTGAAGATTGAAAAGGATGGTATACATAGGAATTGGAATAATGCCTGGTAGACTGCCAGCTTTCAATAAATGTAGCTATTACATTTACATTAAATCACAGACAAAACACATCTTGACAAAAGTGCCTGCATGTAGCCATGTCGTTGTTCAGCAGCCTGCCTTGCTCTGCCAGCCTTGGGACTTACAATGGACTTGAATTAATGGCCTGCCACATGGTTTGGTAACATCAGAACTGTGACATTTTATTTGTTGACCTTGGGCTTGTTAGCCTCAGCAGCCAGTATCTGCCTGAGTGAAGAGGTGCCCCTAGCTTCAGTAGGCCGGGAGCAAGAGACAGAGCTGAAGCCCAAGCTCGAGGGACTTTTTCACACAGCCTCTAGCCTGGCCTTTTGAACTTGGATTTAAAGCCTCCAAATTGTAAGAGAATAAACTCCCGTTTGTTCAAGCCATCCCATTTGTGGTATATTCTTGTCAGAGTGGTACTAGGTAACCAGAACACAGGTGTTCACAGGAAACCCCTATTTGTTAGAATATGAGGTAACTAGTGGTGAAAACCTGCATCAAAATTCAGGACTTAGGAGACAGATGGGAGGGTTTGAACAATGAGCAGTTCAGAGCATTGAGTTCCCAGCTCTCAGCCTACTTTCTGAGCATTGCCTATGTGACAGCAAATCCCAAGTCCCATCTTCACAGCATGCCTCCCCTTCTCCCAAAACATCCCGTTCTCCTCCTTGTTACTAGGGGTGTGTGTGTGGGGGGGGGTAGTGCAGAAAAACCACAAGCCTTTATCAAAACAATGTGAGAACAGCAATCCTTTGGAATTAAAATTTAATTAAACACTATTAATAAAACATCAACTCCTACTCTACCGAGGTATGTGGACATTATCACATTAAAGACACCAGCCATGCAAGACACCAGTTCTCAGAGCTGAAGCCACACCTCAGGAACCACGGGACAGAAGGCAGTCTCAGAAGAATGCAGGCACTTCCTGTGGACTAGGATTAGTTTCCATTCTTCCTCAAGTGAAGGCAGGAGGCACTGTTTGTTTGCTGGGGATCTCATCCACCTTCAGGATAAGCTGAGGATGGAGCATAGCTCTCCTTGATTAATTGAAACTCCCCTCAGGGAGCCAAAGAGCAGCCTCTCAGATTGAGCTGACTGGATTCATGCTGCTTTCATGAGAGCTACAAAATTGTCTTCTGGGGAATTTGTAGAATTTGTAATTTCAGCACCCCAGTGCCTTTGAGGGCCCGCAAAGCAATCCGCTGCTGGAGAGATAGGCTTGTAGCCACCACGTGCCGCTGCTTCATCCGGGGAGCAGCTGTTGGTGGGAGACTAAAAGGGCATTTCATGTTCCCCTTTCCTGCAAATGTCACAGACAATTCCATAGCTCACTTACTTAGTGGTTACTTCTCAACCTTTAACTATCCAAAGCACAGCCAAGATGGTGAAATTGAACAGATGAACACCATGGCAGTGGTGATCTCATGTCGCCTGCCATTAACCACGCAGCGATGCTACAATAGGCACCAAGCTGGGGACATTCTATCCAACAACATGTACTCTCTGCCCGAGATTTCCTTTGGAAATGTTTCAAAGCCATAGAAAAACTAAAAGAGTGGTACAAAGAAGACCTAAAAGCCCTTCACCTAGATTCAGCATTCATTAATAGCTCACTATATTTACATGAAACATATACACCAGGAAATACTAAGCCTCAAAATACTCCACAGGAAAATGAAAAACAGCGAACTCAAATGTAATAACTATGCCAATAAAAGGTAGCTCTGGTAGCATAGTGCCTAAGGCACTTGACTGCTAATCAGAAGGCTGGCGGTTCAAACCCACCAGCCACTCCTCGGAAGGACAATGGGGCAATCTACTTCCATAGTGATACTGCCTCGGAAACACAAGGAGGGGTCCCTATGAGTTGCGTCTGACTCGATGGCACATAACAACAACAACATGCCAATAAAATAAA